TCTCTTCCACGCCTGCAACACGCTACAGGTTCTAAGAGGGATTTGCCTTTTTCCTATTGTAAATGAAAATAACCCTTTCTGCTACCTTGTACCCAGCAGTCACACATGGGCAGAGAATTGTCCCCCTTTCAAATAGATACTTTTCCTGCAGATAAGGGACTTCTGAATAGCCAGAACTATGTCACTTGGGTTTTGACTAGTGCTTTCCAGGAACTTAAAATTAAGTGGACTATTCCTGGGACACAAGTCAATCACCCTTCAACAATCTCTTGCTCCGCATATCTCAGAGGCACACAGCAGTAGAATTAGTGCATACACGCTGAGCATTTGGTATACTAGATATAGCCAGGCGCTATTCTAAGAACTCACGGGAATTGACTCAGTCCTCTCCACAACCTTGAGGTAGCAGAGAAGCTTAATAACTCGTCTGAGGACACACTATTAAGAGCAAGTGGCAGAGCTGGACTTGAACTCTGGTGTTCTGGGTCCCGAGTCCGTCTTCTGAACACCATGCCACTTTGCCTATCCACACGTGAGTATGGCATGTGAATAAAACAAGAGGAAAAACCCGGGCTTGGGCAAGTTTCTGAACCTCAGTACAGACAGGAGGTTGGCCTAGGTGACATGTGAGAGGGAATGTCAAACTCTTAATACTTCCGTTGTACTTAACCACAATGGGATCCCCACCTAGAACAGAGAGCTGGCGTCACTGAGATTTTCCACATTAAGAGAAGATAATGGTTGCTTTAAGAGCCAAAGTAGGTTTGGTTTAGACCACAAAACAGGGAAGTAGAGATCTCCAAAGCCAATAGAGCACAGGCAAGAGCTCTCTATGAGGAGCCTGCCGCCCACCCCACCCTGCCAGCACGGTGCTCTAGAGAAATCTGAGCATCTGCCATCCCCCTGCTTTTATAAGGCCAAGAAACAGGAACTTTCTTCTCAGTCCTGTTTCTAAAGGGATGCTCGTATACCCCAATATTCCCTACCCCTCACTGTTGCCTAGGCCATAGGATAAATTAGGATATGGAAATGTGTGTGCCATGAAGAAACAGGAATGGATGGGGGCAAAATCTTGCTCATTTATTCACTGGCTCCATTTGGCTGCCATGAAGTCAAAGAACCATCAAAGCAAATAGACTTGGGCTCATTCCACAGCTGCATAGCATGAGTAATCTAGATTCCTGAGTCCTGTATCAGTCAGCTATCACTGCATAACAAGCATGAAGGCTCCATGACCATAACAAACATTGATCTCTCATACAACTATATATAGGCTCCAGCTGCAGGTTCAGTTCAGGTCTGCTCCACTTGGTTCTACTCTGGGACCAGCAAGCTACGTGGGACAGAGCACATGGTCAGAAGTGCTGAGATGGGCGAGTGGAAACACGCTGTCTGGAGCCCGTGCACTGATATGCACAAGGGGCACATGCAGCCAACCCAAACTGAACCTGCTCCCTAGACTTGCAGCTACCTGCCTCAGCTCACATGGGCACCCACATTCCTGCCAAGCATCCCATAAGAGCCCCCAGCAGAGGAAGGGGAAAACTGGCAAAGCCTCAATGGGAGCAGTGACATACAAAATGGTCACACTCCTCTAACCTCATGATTCTACCTTTGAGAAAGTTCAGTCACCTTTTGTTTTGTGAGGGTTGAGGATTGACTTCTTTTTCCAGGTGGAAATTTTTGTTTTAATTAGATATTTGTTACAGTAGAATCCATTTATGCATTTTGATATACATAGCTCATTTTTCTGATTGTACGTGTTACAGAATCACATTGATCATGCAGTCATGTATGTACATAAGGTAATAATGTCTTTCATTCTACTATCCTTCCTATCCCCATAGCCCCTCCCTTCCTTTCACTCCCCTTTACCTAAGATAACTATTCTTCCCTAGTGCCCCCCCATTGTGAATTAGTATCCACATATCAGAAAACATCCGGCCTTTGGGTTTTTGGGGACTGGATTATTTCGCTTAGCATGATATTCAACTCCATTCATTTACCAGCAAATGCCATAATTTCATTTTTCTTTAAAGCCAAGTAATAGTCCATTGAAAAAATATATATAAAAATATATATATGGTATATATATGTGGTGGTGTATAATATATAAATGTGGTATACATATATCCCATTTTCTTTATCCATTTATCTATCAAAGGACACCTAGATTGGTTCCATAGTTTAGCTGTTGTGAATTGAGCTGCTATAAACATTGACATGGCTGCATCACTGTAGTATGCCAATTTTAAGTCCTTTGGGTATGAACCAAGGAGTAGGATAGCTGGGTCAAAAGGTGGTTCCATTCAGAGTTTGAGGAATCTCCAAACTGTTTTCCATAGTGGTTGCACCAATTTGCAGTCCCACCAGCAATATATAGTGTGCCTTTTTCAACGCATCCTCGCCAACATTTATTATTGCCTGTATTCTTGATGATTGCCATTCTGATTAGAATGTGATGAAACCTTAGTTTTGATTTTGCATTTCTCTAATAGCTAGAGATGAACATTTTTTCATATGTTTGTTGACTATATTGGCTTTTAGTTTTCAGTTTAACTAAAACACTCCCAAACTAACAAATTGTCTCTAACCACTGGGGCACAAAATGGTTTGCCGAGTCAGATAGATGCAAAATTCAGAAGCCAACCCTACCATTTACTAATTGCCCGAGGACCACAGGCAATTGACTTGGACTTTGAGTCTCAACTCCCTCATCTCTAACAGGAAAATAGGGACACAGAAGCCAGCCTCTGAGTGGCCCACCCTGTGCCCTCCCCTCACCGTGTGCGTGATAGAGCCTGATGGCCAACTGCCACCACCCCCATCTCCATGCCTGGGCACTTTCCTAACCTATGCACATGGCAGGACAGGGTGCGGGCGGATGAAGACCCCAGGGAGGGTGACTTGAAGTGTCTGTTCCACACCGGCCCCAACACCCCTCTCCTAGAGACCGCACCCCAGTTACCCACGGTAGCGACTTGCTGGCTGGAACCTTCTTCATGAGTTGCCTTCCCTTCTCTTTCTATCTCACCCCCACATGATATCCTCTAGAATTACCTCTAATGTAACTTCTAAAATAAACAACTTGTAATCAAACCCAAGTGAAAAATTGTTTTTCAGGGGGGTTACAACAAAGGAGAGAATGAACAGTCCCCAGACTAAACCTGCCTCTGATTGGTCCCATGGCTGCTAAGTAAATGAGTAGTATGAGCCATGGTGGATGCAGGTTTACATGGACATTCGATTCCAGCACCCCCTGCAAGGGGCTGATGTCCTTTTGCTTTCTGGTGCTTATGTGGCATGCAGAGGAACCACTGGGGACAGCAATGGGTCCCCTTTCACGACCCATCATTTTTAGTCCTACTGCATGAGTAGATTGGGCTCAGTAATCACCACCTCCATTGCCTCTGTGGATTCTTTTCCCCAGCCCGATGAGCTACCCAACTAGTTGTTCCAGAGGCCATTCCGTTTTCTTTCTGGAAGAGGAGGAGGAGGAGGAATAAGCTGGGTGGTCACAACAATCCCAATACATTATCTCAAACTATCCACCCTCTTGACATGGTTGTTAATTTCATCTATTTTTAAAATGAAAGTTTTCCTTCGACTAGAATGTTACAGAAATGAAGAGGGCTAGAGTTCAAGATGGCCCAGCCAGAGTCCAACAAATGCTCACACAGAGAAACGTACATAAAAAATGACTCATCTGCACAGAGGAGGGGTTTGCCCCCTACAAGGACACTGCTGGTTCTTCTGTGGGGGCCACATCACAAAGAACCTTGCTCAGGCCAGCCACCCAAGTCCCCAGAGGGTCCTCCATGAGACAGGAAACTGCAGTGTCCTGACATTGTTTCTCAGAGACCACTTTGATTCCACAAACGTGAAACCTGGGAAATCCCAGGGAAGCCCAAGGCAACGTGGATGAAAAAATTATGTGTGTGTCCAAACAAATCAATGAGGGAATGAATTAAAAAATAAACAGCCCAGCACTTAGAGGGAGAACAGATTCCAGTTCACTGAACTAGGATAAGGACCTTAGAGGACAGGGGATCACACTGAAGGAAAGGACAGCCATCTCTGAATCCCTCGAACCAAAATTCCACTAGACTACGAAGTGATCAACTTGATTGTCCCCAGTGCCCAGGCATTTGAGGTTCTTCTATGCAGGCACCTGAAAGGACATTTGTTTTTCAGTACTAGAAATTAAGCCCAAGGGTACCACTGAGACACACCCTCAGAACTTATTTTGAGACAGCATCTCACAAAGTTTCTAAGGCTGGCCTCAACTTTGTTATCCTCCTGCCTCAGCTTCCCAAGTCGCTAGACATACTTTCTTTACAAGACCCCATATGTCCCTTGATGAGGAACTCTTAAAAACTTGTGGAAGGTATACTCGACTCTCAGGAGTCTACCCGAGTTCCAGGGTCATATTATAAGGAAAGCCAGACCTCAGATGTCAGGAGATGACCTGATCGGTGGAGATGTTACACTCCTGCCATAGTGTAGCTTTATGAGTCCTGGGTCTGCTCTGCACCCTGCCTGAGGACACTTGTCCCCCGGGGCAGCTAGGAGCTTCTGGCATTACCTGGGGCAGTAGAGATCATTGGGGCCTACTTCTCACCTTTCAGATGAGGAAAATGAAGCCTAGAGACAGTTTCCCAAGGTGCCACAACCTCTGGCAGTGCCAGGACACCAAAAGGACTATTTGGACACTTGCCTGAGGGTTGGTGAATTTGGGTCCCTGAGGTTTCATAAAGCAAGTATTGTGGGCTCTGGCAGAGATGGGCAGAGCTGGGGAGGGCCTAGGACTGTTACCCTTTTGTACCCTGGACAGAGCCTCCATGCTAGAGGCCATCTGTGGACAAAGAGTATGCCCTCTCAATAGCCTGTGGGAGGCTGGGAGAGATGCTTGGGGGAGGGGGTTGTGAAGAAGGGAGCAGGAGTTTAAGGCAAGACATGGGCAGGGGCATGAGGGAGAATCCCCCCACACACATACTCACCTTCGTAGCAAGGGATCAGCGTCCTGCCTTGGGCCTGGAGGTTGGATGGGATGATGTAGCAGAAACCGTGAGGCAGGATATGGTCTGTTTCATAGTAGATGTTCTTCCACCGGTGGGCACAGGCCTAAAGGGACAGAGACGGGTGAGAGAGGGGAGAACCACAGCGCCAGGGGATTCTGTGAAAGGAGAGAGGAGCAGAGGGAGAAGCTAGCTACCTCCTCTCCTGCCCAGACACACCAGGCCCTTGCTCGCATGAACATGCCCCCGGGAGGCTCCTGGGGGAAGGCAGGTGGTCAAAGATTGGCAAATGATAATCATAGCAAGTGCAAGCGTAAGCTTAAGAAGAATGAGGGTTATGGAATAGCGAATCCGAGAAGGAGGGACGGTTTCCATCTGGTGGTCAGGGAAGGCCTGAAGGAAGAGAAAGCCCTAACCACATGGAGCACTTGGGGAAGAGTGTTCTGAGGAAGGGGGACCAACAGTGCAAAGGACAGGAGGTGAGAGACTTGGGGAGGTCCAGAGAAAGAATGGAAGTGGGCAGGGCTGGTCTGGAGAGGCATGGGTAGGAGAGGAAGTCAGAGAGGGAGGGAGGATATGGGGGCAGGTTTCAGAGACTACAAGGACACCTGTGATTTCAGCAGACAGACGATAAAAAGCCAGGGGATAGCCTCAGTGGCCGATCCACTTTACAGTTTGTAAAGGTCATTTTGCTGCTGCGTGGAGGCTGTGGGTGGGCAGGAGAGGAAGTGAACCACTAGGTGAGAGATGCTGCTGACCTGGACCAGGATGGGCAGGGGGAATGTCATCAGGACACAGGCTCGAGGTAAAACTAATGAGCCTGAGGAATGACCAGGCATGGAGAGTGCTGGAAAGGGAGCACCCACCCACATATAACTCTGCTTTTACCTGCGGAGACACTTGAGCAGGCAGCTCCTCAACTTTCTAGTAATAAATGCTTGTTGATGGATTGTTTATTGGAGTAGATTTACATACAGCAAAACACAAACATCAAATGTACCACTTAACAAGCTTTGGCAAGTGCACACACTCATGTCACCCAAGCCCTAGCAAGACATCTCTTTCCATTTAACCAGAAAGCTCCCTGGTGCCAGGGCTGGTTTACACAGGCTGCTCAGGGAGGCCCTCTAAGGGGGGACATGAGACGTGAACCAGGGGGAATATTCAGGGCAGAGGGGCAGGAGAGTGCTTGGAGAACGGGAGGCCATCAGGGACAGACAGGGCACCTTGGCCAGCTTGGAGAGCAGCCTCAGGGTACATGGCTCGCCAGCCTCAGTGCTGGGGACAAACCTGCAGTAAGAGGCTGTGAGTCAGGGCAGTTCCCACCAACAGACAGGGACCAAGTGCCAGCAACTAGAACTCACACCTGGCCATCCTTCTGTCCCACTTTGTGCCCCTGCCTCCCCTTCCAACAGGAGAGTGGTCTCAGTTCTGTGTATGTGTCTCTGCACAACAATGACAAGGACCCCCCCAGAATGCACATCTGCCTGGCCCCGCCTGCCTCTCCTGGGCATGCACCGCTGATTTCTGATATCAGCTTATCTCATTCTGGCCAATGGCTGCATGGTCTTAAAATATTGAATTTTAAAAAAAATCAATTATTTAATGTCCGTTTCCTTCAAATACACTTATTCATGGGTTATAATGGTCCACCTTTGACTTCTTCTGGGATTCCAGAAGATGAGCAGAAGAGATGTCCTATGGAATCTCATTTTCTTTACAGTAACACTGAGAATTAGTGCTAGGTCTAAGCCATGGAGCTAGCAAGTGCTGCAAACCAGGCTGGAATCCACAGTTTCTAAATCTTGTCTCACTGCAAAGCATTCTGCATCCAAGCTCCCAATTCCTACCTGAGGAGTCATCAACACACATCCCCTGAAGCAGATCTGGTACCAGTTTATCCTCTCAGCACCCCCCAAGGTCCTAGGACCCTGAAATAACCACCCTCAGATTGGGTGCTCCCGAGTATGTGGGGGACTCCCTAGGGGCACAGATTTCCCAAGGCCATTCTAAGACAAGATCACGGCCTCCTAAGCAATCTGCTTTGGATCCCTCCAGGCCAACTGCCATCAGGACCCTTGACAAGCCACTCTGCCCAAAGACAAAAGAGGACACACTCAGAATGATTCTCAAAGCTGGGCAACCACACTTGGTCCCTTGTCTGAAGACATTAAATACAGAAATCAATCTATTATCACTACTTCTACTGCAAACCACCTTCCTGCCTCATCACTCGATATTGTTCTATGCTTAAAAAAAAAAATCACACATTTCTCAAAACATAGAAATAATATGCAGTACAGAACTAAAACATCAATAAACAAAGAACCACTTCATACCACCCCATAGAGTTGTCCCTTGGTACCCAAGGCAGAGTGGCTCTAGAATGCTATTCAGAAACCAAAATTCACAGGTGCTCAAGTCCCTTCTAAATTGGCATAGTATTTACATATAACCTATGCACACCCTCATGTATACCTTCAATCATCTCTGCCTCACTCATAACACCCAATACAGTGTAAATGCTATGTAAGGTATTATATTTTTAGTAAATGAGAAGGAAAGAAGTCTATACATGTTCAATGCAGGTGCAATATTTTTAAGATATTTTTGAGCCAGTTAATTGAATCCACAGATGCAAAAATCCATGGATATCTGGGATATCAGCTATAAGTGATTTTTTTAATTCTCAATTCTGACTCCATTCTGATGGCTTGCACACTGGAATCACTTATCACCTAATTCATGGGTAAATTAGTTGTACTGAAGTTGATGGATTCAGCAAAGGCCAGGGCTTAGAGGGCTTACCATGTCCTACTGCATTTCTGGGTTGGAGAGGAGGATGTTTATCACTGCCGACAGCCAGCTGCACACTGACACATATCAGGAAGGACTTGCAGTATTTAATGTCTAGTATATTGTCTACTCTTTTAAGTACCATAAACTATTTAGAGAAGGACCTTGGAGAATTCCTAGAAGTTCCCACTACTGTATTTCACACTAAACAAAACTAAAATTAAGGCATTCTGGGAAGTCAGATCAAAATGTCGAAAGCAGGCTCCGTGCAGGGAGACAGCACAAAGTGTGTGAATGTAAATTATAGAAAGAAAACACTGCCTGGAGCCCAATTATCACTATGTACACACATCCATTTGACCCCTAAACTAAAATAAAATAAAAATTCTGAGGGGCTATCTGCAAAGTATTAATAACAATCTCTCCCAGGAGTCATTATGAGGGAAAAGGAGAACATTCTCTGGAAACAGCAGGACCTACTCTGGATGAGTGCTTAGCATATACGAGGCCATCCTGGGTTCAATTCCCAAGTGGGGCAAGGGGTAGAAAAAGAGGACTCACTTAAAATCATTCTACAAAGGAGGAGGAGGGCCTGCCACCATTCCAAATCTTAGAACCAGATGTATTTCAAGCTAGAAGGGTTGCTTTTCCTCCCAAGGAATAAAAAGAGGAAGAAAACCAACAATTTCTTTCAAAGGCCTTTTTTCTTGTATGGAAACAGCATGTACTTCCTGGGGGGTGGGTACTGAGCCTCTCCAGGTGGCTCAGCCACAGAGATCCACCCTACCCTCCTACACGCTCATCCGCCATGTACAGATGGCCAAAGCCTCTCTCATGCTTCCAGGTCCACGGCTCACAGCCAGCCAGGCCAGGGCCACTGAGAACATCGTGTGCAGTGTGCACAAGATCAAAGTGAGGCTGGGATGCCACAAGGCTCCCCTGAACAAGTTTCTGGGTGGAGGAGGATGCAATGACTGGGGAGGCACCAAGAGGGGACTTGTGTGGCACTGGGAATGTTGTTCAGTGGATGTCCCCCTAATGAACACTTATCAAGGTGCACTCTGATGGCTCATGCCCTTTTCTGCATATGTCCCAGCTCAATAAGAATTCACACACACACACACACACACACACACACACACACACACCAGGAAACAGAGCAACAGAAAGTAAATGCAAAAATGTACCCTGTGGCTTTGAAAGATGTACACACATGGGAAGCGGTCAGGACAGCCCTGATGGCTAGAAAGGAAATGGCAGAGATAGAGCCGGAGAACACTGCTTCACCCAGAAATAATCAAATCATTTGTTGTTGTCTGAGCCTTGACAACTCTGATCAAAAGGATAGATAATGGGCTTGAACTTCCCGAGCCGCCCTGCACTGTGTGTGAGAAGCATCGGTGCCTGTACTGGGTTCAGCAGTGGTGATTGCAAGAAGTGATGACTTTATATCTTGCCTGTTTCTTAAAATATCAACTGCACACTGGGAGGGCAAGGTGTAAGTACAAGAAGGGAAAGGGCTTGCCCCCCATTCCTGATGCTGTGTTTACACTGGGGATCATTTGTTGCCTGGGGCAAAACTGGAAGGTACCACACTGCTCACAGAGCCCAGATGGACAGGTCTGAAGCCCTGACAGTTTGGGTCTTGCCTGAGCTCATCCAAATGATGCCATTTGTCAATCAGAGGCTTCACTCCCTGTCACAGCTTTCCAGTTCTCCATCTGTTCCTTACTTTGAAATCAAGACCAGATGCCCTTTTCAAAGCACCCTGCCACCTCTCCCTCTTCAAACCCAACCTTGGAATCTGATGCTGTGCTCCCTAGGGACCTAGTTCTTATCCCTACAGCACCTCCTTACTGGATTTTCAAAATGCATTCAAATGACACAACATCCTTTCTGGTTTTAATTTTAAAATACTTGCCTCCCAGAAAGCTTCAACAGGGAGAATGAAGACATTCAAGAAAAAGCAAATGGATCAAAGGCCTCTGAAACATGAATGTGGACAAGATGGCCATTCATTGTACCTTGTTGTCACCTGTCACTTTAGAGCAGTTTGCCTGGCACTTCTATCAATGACTTAGAATCAGCCACCAAGAAAAGATGACAACTTGGTTTCTAGATGTTCTAACAAGGATGCTCAGGCCTCAGGTTATGCAAATACACTTTAAGATAAGATACCATTCCTAAGAGATGTCCTCCAGGCATGGAGAGCAAGAGTGGTCTCTGTTCTCAAGTGGGTTCCATAAAAAGGACACAAACACAAAATAAATCATATGTGCAATATGAGGTGATAATGTCACATTGAGTTCCAAGAACACAAAAGATATTCAGCTTGTTCCATACGGGCTCCAAGGAGGAAGCAGAGCCCAACTGGGGTTGGGTATCAAGGACACAGGGGACTTAGGAAAAGCCTTTCCTAGAAAAACTGAATAAAATCCCTCAAAGTAAGTCAATGATAAAAGGTACAATTCCATTTTAAAATGAGCAAAGACTTAGCCACTTCTATAAAGAAGTACAAATGGCCAAAAAGCAAAGGAAAAGATGTTCAACATCACCAGCCATGGGGAAAAGCAAACCAGATCTATAATGAAATATTACTTCAATGCCCACTGGGACAACCTATGTATTATTTTAATGGGGAGTGCTGGTGACCCAGAGATGTAGCTCAATGGCAGAGTGATTAGGATGCACAAGGACCCTGGGTTCAAATCCCCAGTATCAAACAGCCAAAGAATAAAACCCTCAAGAATGTGGCAAAACTGAGACCTTTGTGTGCTACCAGTGAGAATACAAAATGGTGCCACTTTGGAAAATAGTATCAAGGTTTCTCAAAAGGTTAAAAATTAAATTACCAAGTGATCCAGAAATCCCACTTCTGGGCAAATACCCAAAAGGATTGAAAACAGGATCTTGGAGAAATATTTGTAGATGCACATTTACGAGCATCTACAAGCAGCCACCAGTGGATGAAAAGACAATTTGACTTACATATATCATGAAATACTATTCAGCCTTAAAAAATTCTGTCGTATGCTGCAACAAGGCTGAACCTCGAGGACATCAGGCTAAGTGAAAGGAGCCCATCACGAGAGGATAAATACTGGGTGATTCCACTCATATGAAATCTAACAGACTCTCAGAATAGAAATTACGAGCAGTTTCCAGGTACCAATGGGGAGGGAGTAAGGGGAGTTTTTGTTCAATGGATAGTGTTTTGAGTTTGCAAGACAGAAAAATTCTAGAGATATACTTACTGTATAATGTGCATTTATTTAATATTATATACAACATAAAAAAGATTTAAGAGGGCTGGGATTGTGACTCAGCAATACAGTGCTCACCTAGCATGTGTGAGGTCCTCGGCTCAATCCTTAGCACTACATATAAACAAAAAATAAATAAATAAAGGTGTGTGTCCACCTACAACTAAAAAAGATATATTTTTAAAATATTTTTTAAAAAGGATTAAGATACATTGTGCCAGGCAAGGTAGCACATGCCTATAATCCCTGTGTGTGGCTTTGGAAGCTGAGGCAGGAGGATCTCGAGTTCCTAGCCAGCCTCAGCAACTTAGTGAGGGGTACTAAGCAACTCAGTGAGACCCCATCTCTAAATAAAATATAAAAAAGAGTTGGGAATGTGGCTCAGTGGTTAAGCACTCCTGGGTTCAAACCCTGGTACCAAACAAACAAACAAAAAAACCCACAAAGAGGATACATCGTTTGTTACATTTTTTACCACAATTGGAAACAAAAGAGGTAAAACCACAGATGCCCCTCTCCTTCTCCAGCACCGATACAGAGTGGCTTACTGAATATATGATGTAATCAATGTGCAAGACATTAGAAAAACAGCTCTGCATGCAGTTAATTAAATGGGATTATCCAAAGTACCACTGTCTACAAATACTCTGCTCTGCCTTGACATCCTTTGTCAAATCTTCCCCCATGATCCCCCCTGCTGCTTGTGTCTCCAGAGACAGCCCCTTCTGGCAGAATCTTTGTCTTGTCCTTTGGAAACAAGTCTCAGCCATAGCAAGATCATTCTTCCACCAGGAACAGTGGCAACCCTGGAGGCTGAGGTAGGAGGATCACCAGTTCAAAGCCAGTCGCAACAACTGAGTGAGAGCCCGTCTCAAAATAAAATCAAAAAGGGCTGGGGATGTAGCTCAGTGACAGAGCACCCCTGAGTTCAATCCCAGTATCAAAAAAAAAAAAAAAAAAAATTATCCTTCCATGAAAAGAGGAAATATCTTCACAAAGACTCAGCTCTGGGCTCAATGTCCTTAAAAGCATTTTGTGACATGCTGTTGCTAGGCCACTGCCTCCTCTTTCGTTCTGAATCACAACTTCAGATGGTGCTTTGATTTATAGATGGCTGGCTTCTTCCCTTCGTTTTCTCAAAAAGGCAGACATGAGTTCTGGCCCTTCTGGGGCCGAGTGCTCCCGTCAAGGAGGTCAGGCCACCAGGCCTGGAGGAATGTGACAGCTTGGCAAGGGTCCAGGGCCAGCAGTGACAGTGATTAAGGACTGGAATCCAAGGCTCACATCAGGCCCAAGGAGCACAAAATCAGGCTCCTCAGAGAAGACACAAACATTTTGTTTAGATCCTCAAGGAAGATCTGCTTCCCCGGCTCAAATACACACATAACCCTCCCCTTTATGGCTGGGGGCCCAAAGGAAGCCTTGGTGAGTGACAGCCAGTCTCATTTTCCCTTCTCGATCTTGTGCTGTTATAAAAACCCTCCTACAGCATTCAAGAAGAGCCAGGGGCAGAAGAGACCTGTGAAGTCAAACAGTGATGCTCCGAAAGGGCAGGGGACTGATTGGGAAAGGGCACAAGGACACTGGGTGGTGTGTCAGCAGCAGGACACCTAAGTACGTGTCATGAAAAAGTCACCAAGCTGTGCTGGAGTTGTGCATGTTCAGTGACTTAGTGTTACATCTCAACAGAAAAGTTTACAAGAAAAAGAGGGGTAATGGGCAAAAATAAAACCCCCATGGTAGTTAAATTTCTTTTCTCTCGAGTCCAACAAAACTTTCTGGGATGATGGAAGTGTCCTCCAGGCTGTCCAATACACTAAGCAGTGACCATACGTGGTTATGGCGCACTTGAAATGTGGCTAATGTAGCCAAAAGAACTGAATTCTTAATTTAATTTTGATACATTTAAATGAATTCAAATGCGGTTGCCTCGCTGGGCACTGCAACCCGAGGCCATTAGGAGCCTCAAAGGCAAAGACTTTGTGTCTCCTCCAAAGCACATAATGGATCAGAAGACATCAAATGCATTTTGGAAGCCAAATAAATGACTAATTAAAATAGCATGCAATTTGGGCTGGGGATATAGCTCAGTTGGTAGAATGCTTGCCTTGCATGCTCAAGGCTCTGGGTTCAATCCCCAGGACCACCAAAAAAAAAAGAAAAATAGCATGCAGTTTATGGTAGGCACAGTGATGGGCACCTGTCGTCTCAGCTACTAGAGAGGCTAAGGTGGGAGAATCACTCCAACCCAGGAGTTCAAGGTCAGCCTATGCAACTTAAGAACCTGTCTCAAAAATTTTTGTAAAACATGTATTTCATAATGTAATATCATCTAGGAACAAATTGGAATCAACTACTGAAGCCAGATGCAGTGGTGCATGCTGTAATCCCAGACACTCATGAGGCTGAGGTAGGAGGATCACAAGTTAGAGGACAGCTTCAGCAAATCTGCAAGACCCTGTCTCAAAATTTAAAAAGGCTGGGGATATGGCTCAGTGGTAGAGCATCCCAATTAAAAAAAAAAAAAAGGAATAAACTACTGATATACACAACATGGAAACATGGATGAAACTCAGATCTTCAGAATACTTAAACAAGAGCACATACTGTAGGACTAACATGAAGTTCTATAAAAAGCTAAAATAATATGTGGTACTACCAATCACAGCAGTGGTTGCCTCAGGGTGGGAGGAGTTGACTGGATAGGAAGACAGAACTTTAGGGGACAATGGAAATACTCTATAGCATGGTATGAGAGTGACACAGGTGTGTGCAATTGTCAGAACCCCAAACACAACTAAGAATTGTGTAATTTATGTAAATTATACCTCAAAGACAAACAAAAAAATTATGTAATGAATGAGATTTACAAAGTTCTTTTCACACGTCTTGTCAGTTCTCTACATCCATGTCTCAGCACCTTGGGATGAACATTGACATTTGGCAAATAAAAAATAAAAATAAGGCAAGTAATTTGTCCATGGACTAGGGGAGAATCTGCAACCTCAAAGCCATCCCTTCTTCTCTGTGCCATCCAGCTTTCCTAACAGGTCAAAGTCTATCACAGTCAGGGAACCATCCCCTGCCCCAGAAGTCCTTACCAACACGCGGCCATCGGCCTTGGGCTGCCGTGCCAGGCTCACCCCCATCCACTCATCATCCCGGTCTTCTCGGCAGGTCTTTCCACAGGGCATGCCCCGATTCTTCCCTGGAGAGAAAGAGGAATGTCAGACTTGGGTTGAGGCATGATCTCTACTGGTCACTATTGAAAGGTTGGTGACAGATGTCTGTTACATGTAAAGAAATAGGGGCCTTATAACCTCCATTACTATGCACCATGCTTAATTCAATTTTGTTTTCATAGGGAGACTCAATGAAGGAAGAAGTGCAAAGATTAATGCTCTGAAGCAAGCTCCTTCATTTGTATTGTACCAGTAAGAAACAGTTGGCAAACTAGTCACTCTCGGTAGCACCAGCAGACAGCTGTCCTCTGCTGCTAAAGAAAACCACAAGAACTTTTTTATTTAAACATAATTTTTAAATAATAATGCTGGCCAAGGCTGGCATACACCTGTAATCTCAGCATCTCAGGAGGCCAAAGCAGGATTGCAAGTTCTAGACCAGCCTCAGAAACTTAACAAGGCCCTAAGGACTTAGACCCTGTCTCAAACCAAAAAAAAAAAGGGAGGGGGTTTAGGGATGTGGCTCAATGGTTAAGCAATGCTGAATTCAATTCCCAGTACCAAAATATTATAATTATAATAATTCTTCAAAGATCTTGATGAAAAAGGGCTCTGGAGAAAGTAGAAACTTGAAGTGCTCATAAAAATGACTCTTATTCATTGAGCACTGTTTTACATGTGTGCTCCCTTATCTGGCTAATCTCCTCAAGCCAATCCTTGTGAGGTATGTATTTTCATCTTGGTTTGACAGGGTGCAAACTGAGGCCCAAGAAGCAACAGGGCATTCCCAGTAAAGTCCAGCTGGGCTTTGAACCCAGCCAGATCCATCCTATTCCAAAGATGTATTTTCCACTGGATCAAAGTGAGCTTTTAAAAACATCCATCAATCATATTGTTCCCCACTTAAAATCTAAGGCCTAAAATTGATTTTAACATCCTCGCCCTCATACACAGAAAACTCCTAACACCACACCCTGGCCTGCTAGGCCCTGTGTGACCTAGCCCCAGCCCTCCTTTCCAACCGCCTCTGCTTCTGTCCACCCTGCTACACAGTTCTTGCTCTGTTAACCCCTGTTTAGAGATTCTCCCTCCCAGACCTGCCCGGCTAACAACTATGCATCTTCTAGTCATGTGGAAAGGTCTTCAGGGAGCCGTTCCCTGTCTTTCCAAGATGAGATGAAGTACCCACCTTCCCTCCAGTCTTCTCATTTGTTTTCTCTTCTGACCATTCATGTTCAAAGCCAAGGATGACAGGATCCTTGTTTGTTCACCAGTACATCCCAGTGCTTAATATCTAAAAAGTACTTAACAGACATTTGTGGGAGGGAGGGATGACAGACAAGTGGATAAGGATCAGGCCACCCTGGGGAGAAAAAGAGCACAGTGTGAAGTTGCCCGTGGAAACCTTGGCAGTGACATCCACCCACCTCGAGCCATGTCCAGTTCGGTGCATCTGCGGTCAGGGTTGGTGTGGACGCGGCACTTAAACACAGCCCCGGGGGACTTCACTGAAGTGCTGTATTTGGAATCTGCTTTTGGTGCTCCCACCAGGACCCTGCATATCGAGAGGAAAAGGCATTCTGTCATAACCCAGTACTGGAGAGAACAGGCAGGTGGTTAAATCCTCACCCAGCCTTGGCAATTCATCTGAATGCTCACTGGGAAATCATTACCCATGTGCTCGAGAGTCCTACAGTTAACCTGTTAGATCTTCTCCGGGTGCATTAAAAGTTTAAGGGCGGGCCGGGAATTGGCTCAGCGGTAGAGCACTTGCCAAGCATGCATGAGGCCTTGGGCTCCATCCTCAATAGTGGGGAAGTAGGTAGAAAGTTTAAAGGATAGTGCTGAGGTGCAGCTCAATGGTAGAGCCCTTGCCCCACATGCACAAGGCCCTCGGTTCATACCCAGCACTGGGGGTTGGTGGGGGGGGTGGCAGAATCAGAGGATAGCTGGAGGGAAACATGTAAAAACAGAAGGTTCCTCTTCAGAACACAAACTCATAACAAACCCATAAGAAAAACACTGACAGACCAATAGAATAATGAGTCAAAGGCCTGAACAGACACCTCACAAAATGAGATAACCAAATGGACAATAGATACATGAGCAGGTACTCCCCTGTATTAGTTACCAGATAAATCCAAAAGAGACAGCCCTCCAGACTCCCTAGAAGGCCCAAACCAAAAAGACTGAAAATGCCAAGTGCTGTCAAGGATGCAGGGCAACAGGCACCCCCACACGCTGCTGGCAGGAGTGTGGACTGCTAAAACCATTTGGGAAACTAGTCATCGGCTTCTCATAAGGCTGAGCCTCCTTTATAACCCGATCATTCCATTTCTAAAACTACACCCGACACAAGTGCACATGTGGGCTCTGCAGGGGGCATGCACAAAATGTCCCCGGCTGAAAGACCCATCAGTGCCAGAGTAGCAAATCTTGGTGCAGTCATGCCTTGAAGCTCTAGGCAGCAACAAAAAAAAAAAAAAAAAATCCATGGACATCCTTCTGCTGCAGCCTCAAAGCAGCAGCACACAACAGAACCCCGAGCGCAAGACAGGGGACTTAAGAGCTTCCTGCTCCAAATCCACATATCTGAAGTTGAAAAGCCGGTGGCATTAAGGTCAAGAGGACGGTTCTCTCTCCAGGGAGTAGAAAGGGAAGGTGTAACTGGTTTCTGGAGGTGGTTATCATGATTTCACCTGTGCAGTGCTCATACAAATTCATAATTTAGTTGTGACATGGGAGCTTTCAATTAAAAAAAAAAGTGGGGGGATTTAAAGATGCCATTTCTCTTCTCTGCCCTCCTCCTTTTGCCACCCCCCCCCCCACTCCTGCAATGGTTTGCCCTCAGATAAAGGCAAGAAAGAAGCTCTGTATGCTTCACTTTGAACCACAAAGCTGCAAAGCTGGGCCATCCCCAGCAGGCCCGGTCACAGGGAAAGAAGCACACCATGAGGAGGAAGAGTCAGGTCCGAGCCTGGGTGGGTGCAGAACAAGGGGGAAATGACTATAAGTCCCCTCCCAATGGTACAAACATCCTCTTGCCCTATAGTTTGGTGCCTTGTTTTTAGAAAGTTGTCAACCAAACATCTACAGCAGAGATTACTAAAAAACACTAATTAGACACAGTTGTACTGAGATGTGAGCCATTTGGAAAAGTCTTGTAGAATGAGACTTTAATCTAAAGCCACACTGATGTTCTAAGAGTAGAAAATTCAAAGCCACTGTTTAATGAGAATGTGAGTAGTTCCATCTCTCTTGCAGGCTGCAGAGGAGAGGAGACCAACCTGGCCAAGACATTCATTCCACTCAGGAAACTCACCCTCTCCTCCATGCCTTGGAGGACGACACATCTTCTGCTAAGCATCTGTGGGGAGGTGTCCACCAGAGACTGGGAAGATCCTAGACAGCCTCCCTGAGGACGGACGAAGCAAGCACGCCCAGGCTCCCCTCACTCCGTCCCGAGAGTCACCTTCTTCTGAGGGTCTCATTCACCCAGTCACCCCCACTCTGGCCTCAGAATGACACTGCTTCCCCACCAACACTCTGGCTAGGCACACAAGGCCTCCCTCCCACAGCAGCCATCTGAGACCCTCAAGCAGGACTGGCAGACATCACAAAGAACCCTGGTGCCAGGGTTCATGGGAAAGCGTGGGAATGCAATTTCCAATGCCCCTGAACTGAGCTTCCACACCCTGAACTTGAAGGATCCAGAGCACACACAAAGATAGGGAGGTGCCAGCAAGGTGGAGCACACTTGTAATCCCAGTGGCTCAGGAGGCTGAGGCAGGAGGATCGTGAGTTCAAAGCCAGCTCCAGCAACTTAGCAAGGCACTTAGCAACTCGGTGAGACCCTGTCTCTAATAAAATATTTAAAAAGGGCTGGGGATGTGGCTCAGTGGTTAAGCACCCCTAGGTTCAAATCCCAGTACAAAAAAAAATTATTTCCCCCTTTCCCCACCAAAGGATCTCTCTCCAGGTAAGTCTTGGAGGGTGTGTATTTGCTTCTGTGAGGATGCCCGGCTGAAGTTGACATAAGGGAGGCCCTCCACAGTCAGGGTACCCACCCCAGCAGCCCTACCCACTTCAGTAATGCTCTGGGTGGTTCTTGCTGGGCAGCTCACGCTCCTCTGGTCTCACCAGGGTGGGCCACGGCTATAGAATTCCCAAACAGAAGCAGGGCTGGAAGCCACAGCCCTTTGGAAACCTAACCGAGCACTTGCCCAAACAGACCACACACTGCCTCGCTCTCCCGCACAAGGGCAGTTTGTCGGCCCTTGGCTGCTCTAACACAAATGCATAATGACACACAGAACGAAACTCCAGTGAGAAAAAAAAAAACCACATGAAGAGATTCATTTCCCCCCTATGCTTCTGGGGCTGAGCCTAGAGCCACTGGGGTAAATTAAGGATTGTGTGCACTAACACCAGTTGTTTTCACAGGTGAGAAGAATTAGCAGTTGGACATATCAAAACTGCTGAAGCATCGCCAGCAGGCCCACATGTCAAGTCCTAGGAGCTGGGGACACAGCTCCCTTGAAAACCCCAGGGCCACAGTGCTGGGACCAAATATTCCCAACTCCAAATTCACATCAGCAGGGCGAGTAACTGCCATTTGTAATTCACTTTTGAAAAGTCAACCCCCCCCCCCACACACACACACACACACACGCAGGGCTTGGGACTGGAGCTCAGTGGTAGAGTGCTTGGAGTGTACTGGGTTCAATCCCCAATATCACCCCATCTCCAAAAACATAAACAAGAGAAAAATACCCAACTATCACAGGTGATGGAATGGCTAACGGCTGCAAGAATCAATCTATGATGTGCTGCAACTGTCATTGCGACTCTGGAAACTTCAGATAGCACCACCACCCTAAATTCACGGATTCCTAGGCATGTCCGACCCAGCAGGCAGGGAGCCTGAGGGCTGAATCCTCAACCAGTGCTTCTGGACCCTAGAGCCACAGTCCAGTGGGGCCAAATCTACATCACAAAATCTAAAGTAGACCCTTTCCAGCGTTCTCCAGTTCCATCCATTTAGCAGTGAATGGATGCGATTTCAATTTTTCTTTATGACTGCATAGATCCCCATTGTGTATGTGTGTGTGTGTATACCCACACTGAAAAAAAATACACTAGAATCCAAGTCCAGTGTCTAATGTTCTCTATCATGTGTGGAAGCTAGAGGGGAAAAAATACTAAGAGGAGGATCTCCCGAAACTAGAAGTGAGAACAGTAGAGTTGAAGCCAGAGACGGAGGACAGGGAAGAGGGGAAGCAAAGAACTGGAGAATAAAGTTGACCAAATTATGCTATGTGCCCGAATGACTACCTCAATGCATTCCAGTTTTATATATAAGTATAATGCACCAGTTAAAAATAAATACATAGAAGGAAGACTGATAAAGAGGTAGAAGAAGATCAGGGGGAGTAGGAAGGAGAAGGGAAGGAAGTGAAGGTGATCATAACCGGGAAAATGAAACAGAAAACTGTTTATAACTACGTCAAAATGAACCACACTGTTATGTGTAACTAAAACACATTAAAAATAATTTTTAAAACTTTTAATCTAACAGAAGGGATCTAATGAATGATAATTTCTTTCTAAGCCCAAGGTACTTGAGGGTTCCAACAATGGCTGATGGAAACACTGATAATAGCCCACTAGTTAAAACTTTTGATCAGCTGGCCAGATGAGGTTTTTTCCCCCCAAATCCTGTGCAAAAGAAAATAAAGCTGGATAGAGAGACAGGTGTGCACACATGCAGGACACTCATGGCTGGCACACTGGACAGGCATTTTTATCAACATTTACAGAACCTTGTGGCTGGCTCCACCCGAGTCACTTTTAGATTTTGGTCCAGGGATTGAACCCATGGGCACTTAACCACTGAGACCACATTCTCAGGCTCTTTTGAGACAGGGTCTTGCTAAGTTACTTGGAGCCTCAGTCACTGAGGCTGGCCTTGAATTTGTAATCCTCCCACCTCAGCCTCTGGGATTACAGGCATGTGCCACTGCTTCCAGCTGAGCATGTCTTTTCTGAAGTTCATTCAACTGGCTATTTGCCAGGCTGATCCTAGGAGATAGAGGACAATGGCTCAGAGGTGAGGACAAGCCACTGAAAAGATGCCAACTGCTTTTTCTCATTGTTCTCGGTTATATTGACACTTCAACCATTTCCCCCCCCCCCCAATCTTCCCTGATTCACCTAAGACAACATGTCTTTCCTCTCTATGGTCACCATACCAAAGGACTTGCGCATTTCCAACAGGCTCCCGTCAATAAACCATCTTGCTGATCCTCACTTCTCCCAGCTCCTTCAAGTGCAGTCCCCAGACCAGCAGCGTGAAGAACGTGGGGCCCTTAATGAAAGTGCAGAATTCCAGGCCATCCCAAATGGCTAAGCCAGAATGTGCACTTAAAGCAATCTGTAGTCCAGGAAGTGCTATATAACAACCTACTGCGATTACAAATGACCAAGTTCAGTTGGAGCCAGTAGACTGCCCTCGAGAAGTGAGGTTCTGCTCCTATCTCACCCCCAGTTAAAGAT